AGAAACAGCTGTGGATCCGGGCAGAAGACAGACTGTGTTGGATAATGCAGAATGTTGGATAAGTGAGGCTCTAGTGTAAAAAAAATCTGTATTAAAATATCTTTGCCTAGGACAGATTAACTACATTTTGAATTTCTGTTTTAAACTTCTTTGGTATTCTATAAAGAAAAGCAATCGTCATGCCATTACCACAGCAAACCCATATCGTATTTTAGGAAAACAAACAGCCTCACAATCGACTGAGGCCAGTTCTTGTTGGAGAAATATACTTCTTTCCCCCCTTCATTGTTGAATTTTACATGAGTCTTAAATATCTACTTGTATTCCATGACTTCTTCCTAATTAGATATTGGGCTGCTGAAAAGAACTCAATTTGGATGTAACTTGCATAGGTTTTTAATGTTCACATTTTAATTTTATTTACTCTCCCCTATTACTTGTACTTTAAAACATGCTACTAAGTTATTATGGAATGACCTGAGACAGTTTACCCATGACGTATATAATTTGTAGACACAACTACAAAGAAAATTGCCCACACTGTGGAAATGGACTTAACAGAAGGCTGTACATTGGTATTTCCATAGGCAAACAGGAATGTCAACTTTCTCATAAAAAGGTAAACATGCTATTCACATGTGAGAATGACTATATCACACCAGCCTTGCAAGATTTACACTCGTTTTGGCTCAAAACCTAGGCTCATCACTCAGCAGTGGCAGCTCACTGAGTTATATGGGGATAACAACACATATCTCTATATCTAGACCAGTGGTCCTCAACCTGTGAGTCCCCAGATATTTTGGCCTTCAACTCTCAGAAATCCTAACAGCTGGTAAAATGTCTGGGATTTCTGGGAGTTGTAGGCCAAAACACCTGGGGACCCACAGGTTGAGAACTACTGATCTGGAACATAACTTTGAAGATTAGATCAAAGAGAACCTTTCTGAGATATTAGTAGGGAAGATGATATACAAAAGTTACTCATAATAGTAAAAAAAAAGTCATGAAACAAGGTGCAAAAATAACTACTTTATAACATCTTGTCCATATTTCCCCACTTCTGCCCCATCACACTCCAGATATCCATAGAAAAGGGCTTATCATAGGCCTGAGATACAAACCTTTTCCCAATATTGTAACTGTTTATCTTGTATCCGCCCTGAGTCCCCCCTCGGGGGTTGAGAAGAGCGGGGTAGAAATGCGTGAAATAAATAATTAATATTTTGTGTGCTGAATTCAAAAATTGCAATAATGATATTATACCACAAGCATTTCTTTCACTAATTTCATTAGTGATTCAATACTGATTTCACTTAGTCACATCTTACAACACAGAAACAAGGCAATTTGTGAAAAAGCTGTACATGATGGAGGAAATCTGAGATCACTTTTTCAATTTAGAATGTCCAATTTCTAATAAATCAGCAGTAAAATGCCTTTTTATATACACGTCAACTGCTATAGTTGTGTAGTGAAACTGGTTACAACCCATTAAGCTGCTCAAAACTGGCATATTTCTAAAGGTTAACCTTTGTAAAGGTAAAGGTTTTCCCCTGACATTAAGTCCAGTCATGTCTGACTCTGGAGATTGGTGCTCATCTCCATTTCTAAGCCGAAGAGCCAGCATTGTAGACACCTCCAAGGTCATGTGGCTGGCATGACTGCATAGAGCACTGTTACCTTCCTGCCAGAGTGGTACCTATTGATTTACTAACATTTGCATGTTTTCAAACTGCTAGGTTGACAGAAGCTGCTTCGAACCTGCAACCTTTCAGTAAGCAAGCTTAGCAATTCAGTGGTTTAACCAACTGCACCACTACAGCTCCTTAGCCTTAGTAGTTGTGTGCTAAAATATATGTAGTTGCCAAAGAGTCTTACAAAAGCAACCCCATGCGTGGTACAATGGAATAATCTTTGTGCCGCAGCAATTTGTATTCCTATTGTTTACTGCCAAGAAACTATAAAATGCTGTCTAGTCCACTACATAGTCAAATTACTGATGCAAACTATGTGAACTATTTCTACTGTCAATTCAAGAAAATCAGATGCCTGTGTAGTGTTTTGGTGGTGGTTTTTTAATGTTTCCTTTTTTGTACCATTAAAGATGAAAACATTGGTAAATCACTGTAGCAACTGACTGACTTCATATTTGTAAGGACAACAATTCCACACTCAGCTAGTAATACTGTGTTTTCCCCCCAAGCATGTCATCTTAAGCTGATGGCCTTGAGTATTTTTGAAGGCGCATCAACAACAGAAGCAAACTGTCAGCTCAACCTTATGTCATCTAAGTTTGTAGAGCTTAAAACTCAGTAACCAGAAACAAGCAATCTGGTAGTTCACGTGAAGTTCATAGAAAACAGAGCGTAATCAAAGATGGAAAATAACAACTCCAATCATGATTAAGCCACAGAAAGGCTCCCCTTAGACTTGTTCCATGTGGGAAAGCATCTTGTTAATTTTTCATTTAAAAATGACTGACACTGTGCTGAAGCATTACATATAGTACAGACAGTCTCTGGGTTACAAACATCTGAATTACAAATGACTCCTAGTTAAGAACGGAGGTGAGACAACAGGAAGTGACAGAAACCTACCCCTCAAAAGGGAAAATCTTGCCTTGAAAGAGTTTTCATAGGGAAAAGATGTCTCAATGGAAGCTTTATCACCAATCTTTGTTTCCACAACAAGCCACATTTTTCAAAATCCAATTATCATAGGGACAGAAAGTGAAGTGAAATATTCTGAACAGGGGCAAAGACCGCAAAACAGACATCACAGGGGTGTTAACTCTTCCATATGATATCCAAAGCAAAACTTATATATATATGGCTGGAGTTAAAATATACCTGTTCCAACTTACAAACAAATTCAAAATAAAACTACAGAACCTATCTTGTTCATAACTTGGGGACTGCCTGTATAAGTAAAATGGTACTATTTGCCAACAGCAACACAGAAGAGAAAGTGAGATACAGCTGGCCTGCTGTATCCACAGGCTCATTATCTGTGGATTAAAACCACAGTGGATTCCAATGTACACAATATACAATAATGTACCTGTAGTAATGTACGTTTGCCCAACACATTTGCAATGCTAGAGAGTCTTGCATGGATGCAATCACAATTACAAATGGCATAGGGTGGTAGTGGAGGTGGTATGCATTCTTCAGGTTTCCTTGCATCTGGAGAGTCTTCTACAGCAGCAGTTCCCAACCTGTAGTCCATGGACCACCAGTTGTCCACAAGAACGAAAATATGGTTCATGACTTCACCATTACTACACTGTTACCTCAAAACCACGCAGCAATGAGAGCTACTGGTCTTGCAAAACCCTCTTATAGTGCTGGGAGGAGAGAGGCTGACTACCCACAAAAGATTACGACTACCATATCAGCAATAGATTATTAAATATGGTTTTCTGTGGGAAAGTAGATGATGACTACTAGTTGGCATATGTTCTATATCGGAAACTAGAGCTGATGTGGTCTCTCTAATGCTGTTTTCTGAATCAGCACCCCAATAACCAAACAAACCTAAAGTTGACTCAAAACTGACTCGTAACCCTTTGGGAACTAATGTTGGAGAGTGGCCCCTGGTCAAAGTGGTCCTTGGTCAAGTGGTCCCTGGTAAAAAAAAAGATTGGGAACCTCTCATCTATGGAGACATGGCCAATGGCAGTCCTCCTCGTTTGTTCATGAACAACTGAGCAGGAACACAACTACTGATGAAAATCGCCATATCCCCGTGAAAGCTGTTTGCTCCCGTTATTGACGGTGAACAACCAAGCAGCAGTATTTTCACTCCCAACAATTGCTGTGTCCCAGTGGAAGCTATTTGTCACCATGTGCTGGGTGCCAAGGGCGTTCTACTGTTTCCGCTCCTGCCCTACACACTTTTAAATAGAGACTTGAAGATTTACATTTTTTGCTATTTGTGTGAGGTCCAATCCCATGCAGAAACCTAGAGCCCACTGTACAACTCATTATTTCTTTGTCATTACATGAAGTAACAGATTTTGTAAATTTCAAAAAGCTATAGTAACTTATTTTCATATGTCCTGACACATTGTGCCATGTGCTGAGGTATTACTATGGCTACACATAAAATATGACATAGCACAAATGACATAATATTTATAACATTACAATTCATCTACCTGTTGAACCTTCAGGACTTTATTATATGAGAGCTTATGCCATAATAAAATTGTGAATCCTTAAGTGTGACATTACACTCTGCTGATTTTGCTATAACAGACACTGCAATTCTTTTAGGCTGCATTTACACTGTAAATCAACACAGTTCAACCCCACTTTAACTGCTCTGGTTCAATGCTATGGAATCATGGGAGTTGTACTTTGATCAGGTATCAGTAATATTTGGCATGAATGGTTAAAGGCTTTGCTAAACTCCGACTCCCATGATTTCATAGCACTGAGCCATGATAGTCGAAGTGGAGTCAAACTGCATTTATGTTGGCAACGCAGATGCATTCCCAAAAATCTATATGTCTAGAATTTATGAAAAACTCAGTTGAGACATATTTGGTTAGAGATTGTTAGACATGTCAGGTTTCGCACGATGGCAAGGGATTTATTTTTTACTTTTTCCATTTGAACATTTCTGACATCTCACAAACTGTCTTTGAAACCTCCCTGACATTTTTAAAGAATTCTGCCAAGAAGCAAAAGGAGGCTGCTGTGAAAAAGAAAGGCCAGCCTCTGGCTTTGTTTTCATTACTTTTGTGTTACTAATCAAAACCACTGGAGTTGCTGAAATATGTTTTGTTTTTGCAAAAACAATGAAAACAAAAATCTGTTCTCGGTCAATTTGCCAAACGGTTTCATTGTTATTCTGCTCTATTCTGTTACACTTGACAGAGCAGCATTGGGAGAAGCTTATGGATCACAGCATCTGTATTATTCAATACAGATATGTATTGGGCCTTTAAAAAAATCATTTGTACATTTTAAGTTGACAAGTCATCATTTTACCTTTCCGCAGTTGTATATTTAGCCGCTTGCCAATCCGTTTGGTGTTATAGCCAATGTTTGAAGCAGAAGTGGTGGCAACTTTTTGCGGTGATGGTGATGGTGATGGGCCTAAAGGTGGTTTTCCTGATGAATTCACATTCTGAGGTAGTTGTGAGTAAGAGTCCAGTTGATCTATGTGATCACTCACTCGGGGTATTCTTTGCAATGTGTGAACTCCAGTGTGGTTAATACTTTTACTGTCAATATACTGGGAATCAGGGCTCAAGCGGGTGGAGTAATGTGTGTTCTTCTCACTTTGTGACAACTGCTCATACTTTTCTTTCTTTGCCGCTGGAACCACATGGAACCAAATAATGGGAGTACGCATGGCTTGACGGAACATATGCTGTGCTCTAGGTTTAAGAATGAACAGAAATTAGCAAATTAAGATTGGCAGACTAGAAGACATTACAAGCATAATTACTGATGTTAATTAGGCATCATGAAATGACAGACATATTGTTGAAACTGAACTGGAAACTGAAAAGGCAGATTTTCTTTAAGTGATTTGTAAAAAAGTGTTTTTTTTCTGAAGGACTGCACATTTTTTGGGAGGGCATTTTTCTGTACTTTTTCAGTATATGTAACCTTTAAAAAAAATCACCACATGTTCTTTTCTAAATTATTATAGCAATTTTAAATGTTGCCCCATCTTTCAAAATTTTGATATCATAAAACACAGAACATTTAAGGACATGATGTGTTACCTTACAATGTCTCTAATGACCTGTTATCATGTTCAAAAATAATGCAATGTCTAGTTTGCATTTTTATTTCAGTCCCAATGAATCAGGGTCACTCAATAATTCAATTAAGATGAAAAGGCTACAAATGGTTTAGCATTGTACAAATGAGCCACAACATATTCATGTGGTCACTCGTGGTTCCTTCGACTGAAGCATTTCCCATTTTATACAGTGTTGAGGAGATCATTGGTTATCCATATCAGCAAAGTTTGGAGACTCTACTAGGATCTCAGTATAAACTCCAACATATTCAAGGACATTCTTCAATTGAAATTACTTAAAACAGTTCAGATATACTTTAATCTAGATTGATCACAAACAGTATCAAAATAAAGTTCAGTATTAGCTGCAAACAAAGCAAACCATTGAGAAGACTACAGAATTTTTTTAACCTTTACATTCAGTATAATTGACATAGTCAAGTAAATTAAGGATACATCGCTGGAAAGGGGGACTGAGGGCACTACCTCACAAAAAAAACACACACACACCCAAATGAAACTTTCCATTAGACCCCTAGAACAATGGTTTGTAACCTTTTGTCCCCTCCAGGTGTTTCGGACTTTATTTATTTGCAGTATTTATAGACCGCTTTTCTCACACCTAGGGGGACTCAAAGCAGTTTCAGCTCCCACAATTCCTAACAGCTGGTAAGCTGGCTAGGATTCCTGGGAGTTGAAGTCCAAAACATCTGGAGAACCACTAGAACGTTAAACTTTGTGTGATCTTGGTAACTCTGCCTTTTCTGTATTTCTCCATTCTTAATTGAGGTTTCAAGTTAACAGATTGCTATAAATGTGGCTACTGCAGGAAAACTTCATGAAGGCAGAATTTTTATTTCAATGGACAATGCCCTCCATTTTGCCCTTCTCCCCATAGCTGTGCCCCTGAGGAGAGGCTGAGAATAGTTTATTTCTGTTAAAACCTTGCTATGCAAATATTTTAAACCTTACTAACATTTTCAGGAAGCCTCAGCATCTGTATGCATGAGTGTACTTCTTATGACAAATTATATATTTTGTTTGCAAAAAAATAAACATGATAGTTTCCATAGATGTGAACAGTGCTTCTCTGTCTATAAACAAGTCAAATCGCTCAAGATAATTGGGGATTGGGAGAAAAATGGACCTATAACTATTAGAAAACAAAGTCTAAGTTATCAGAAAAAAGGTATCTAATGGCAGTCATTATCTTGTAGTTTTGTAGACTGAGTAATTAAAGAAACACTCAAATGATCTACAAACATTTTCCTCTTTACAAAAAGAACTCATTTTGGCAATTTGCTCTAAAACGTTTAACCCATACCCAAATTACTTCCATGTGTGATAGTTAAAGGTTAAGAAGAGCAATAATAAGCTGTAAACATGCACTTACTGTTCAAATCTTAGATTGCGAAGGTCCCCATCATTTATTTTGACAATACAATCATTTTCATGAAAGAGGTGTTCTTGTTCAGCTTTTCCACCTTTCTCCAACCGCTTTACTAACAATCCCAAAGTTCTGTAACATAAGAGATGGTATATTATTACTATGCATGCAATAATTGTATATTACTACTTTGTGGGCAAGGGCGCATAATTTGTTTTGAATAAACATAAAACTATATGCAAAAGTGTTGCCATTATCTTATTTGCCCCTTATGTTCCCCCATCTCAGGCAAAATAAAATGCTTAACGGTAAGACTCACATGCTATGTTTTTGCTAAACAAACTCAGTTGCTCTATTCCCATAGGAAACAACAGATCTTCAACTCACAGATTAATTTTTTCCATTAATTTCAACAGGCCTCAAAGTGCAATTAATGTGCTATGCAATCCTATGCATGTCTGTTCTGGAATAAGACCAGAGCCACTACATTGGGACCCCATGCTTAATTTGAATACACAATATTTTCTTGTAATAATGCTGTAAAACAGGAATCCTCACATTTTTAAGTCAACGGTCAGTTCACAGTCCCTCAGACAGTTTGGGGAGGGGGGGTGGACTACAGTTTGAAAAAAATAAACGGATTCCTGCACACACTACACATATCTTATTTGTAGTGCAAAAAAACAAAAACTCTGAAAGACCAATACAATATTTAAAATGAGGAACAACTGGAACAACATAAACTTACCAGTATTTCAATGGGAAATGTGAGCCTGCTTTTGACTGATGAGATAGTCAAATTAATTAGGTTTGCTGTTGTTGTGTGCCTTCAAGTCATTTTAGACTTGGGGTGATCATAAATCTGAAGTTTAGGGTGAGGGCCATGTAAATGACCTTGCAGGGCCACATCCGGCCCATGGGCCTTAGTTTGGGAACCCCTGCTGTATTAGATGGTAGACTGGAATTTACATGTGAGCCATGACACTGACTAAGAAAAGATACAAATAGTGCTCACCAAAATGAGCTGCTATCTTTATTTACACATGAGAGTGGGGAAAGGAAGTAAAATAAAGAATAAAGAGAAAATAAAGAGGGTGAACAATGAGGGGGGAGCAGAAAAGGTGAACATTTGGTTCCATGTTGAAGTCCGCAATCAAGGACAGAATCTATTGCTCTGGAAGTAATTTGCTTTCTGCATTCTAAAAGCTAACAACAAAAACAACAACAACGACAACAACAACTTTATTTATATTCCGTTCTATCTCCCCAATGAGACTCAAGGCAGATTCCAAACATAAAAGGCAAACATTCAATGCCCGAATACAACAACAATACATCCACACTAACACAATTTATACAACCCACCATATAAATACAAATTATAACTTAACAAACTAAAATTAAATAAAATGCTGTAATTTTGCTAGGAAGTTACAAACTAACGCATTCATAACTATTTGGTAGTCATGATCTTTATATATTCTCTAATTAAGGGGACACATACAGTCTATGAAAGTTCACCAATATCCAATTATGAGAAGTACCCTTTGCAATCATTGGGGTCCAATTCACTGGTCACCTGGGAAACAACTGGTTGATGTTCCCACCCTTATTCATGCAAACAATCCCCACAGCAAGGGAGAATTGCAATGGGATGCCTACTTTTGCCTGTTATGAAAAAAGATCTCTCACAAGAGGCAGTGGAAACATCAGTCAGCTGCTTCCTGAATAACAGAAGAATAGAACCTTGTCAGCTAATGCAGTTGCTTTCTGACAAATTGGGATTGGAAAAATAGTGCAAGGAGCCATTGCATAGCCATGATAGAGATTCATACCTCCCCAACAGGATTCCAGCCACCTTATTGTTAATCAACACTATTTTTTATGTTTTGTTTTGAAGTCTCATTTCAAGTTAGTAGTGTATATTCATATTCGGTTTGATTGTGTTGATTTCAGTCTTTATTATGTAAATCAAAATTCAATTTTGACCGGACTCACATACTAGCACACATAAACAGTGGCCAAGTTAGACCTTGGCATATCCCATGCAATGTTCTTATTACACTTTTGGCATTTACACTGTCACCAATTATTACAATCATTTTCATGTGGCAGTTGTGGGTCATCTCTATCTTCAAAGCAAAAGCGTATATTAACTAAAGTAATTTTAGATATCAATAAAACATGTGGAGATTATTTCCTGTTTTATTATAATTTAAATACAGAATGAGAATGTTAACATATGTGGCTGAATTTATTTTATTTATACAATGAGGTTAACAAAGTTTGTGGTAATGTCAGCATTAATATGTGAACACTTAGGTTGCACATGCAAAAATATACATACAACTGCAGCCTCAGAGCATCTTTACCCTTTCCAGTCTTATTTCAAGCCATCAAGGCTAAGTCTCTCTGCTGTCAAAATTACACAAGGGTAAAACAACATACTACTATTACTTCAAAAAATCATAAATTTACCAACTTTGAAGTCTCCACCAGTAGATGTTTCTCTACTTTTTCCCTTTCTCCAAATAACTTTTAAAATATTCATGTGTAACAGCCATATGCATTTAAAGTAGCTAAATGCATTTTCGGGAAACAGATGAACCAGCATTCTGAGCTTGCAAAGTAAGAGATTTGGAGATAGGCAGGTTTGGAAAGACTGTGATGAAGAAGTTCTGCAGTGATGAACAGCGGCAACAAGAGTAGGGTGAGCTGAGGTCAATCACCAGGGTGTCTCTGGAGCAGAGAAGTGATGCTAAGGGTGGGTCATGTCATTAACGCAGCAATCCAACAGAGGAAGAAAGCAAAACGGAGAAAAAGAGACAGGAACAGGCAAAGGGAAGGGGAGGAATGCAAGAAGAAAAGGTACAACATTGATGAGAATCAGGCAGGGCCAATGGGTGAAGTCACTCAGTTTTCAAAGTGCTACAGACAGCCCTATAGAAGAGCTCTAGCTGTGTGTCAGAGTACATGATTTTCATGCCACTCCAATCTCTGACATTCCTACTTTCAAAAGTAATTAGATAAATGTAAAATACTTATCCCATAAACTCTGAAAAGATGCCATCAGAGTAGGGAATATTATATTAGATAGGCAAACAGTCTGACCTAGAATGAAGTAGTTTTATTATTCTGTGAATTATGCCCAGCAGGAATAAGGAGGATGATATTGCCATTAATGCCATGGAAGGCTAAGAATGCATTTAAATTGGAGGAATGCAACCCACAGCAGTTCATCACAGGCAAGTTAAATGAGAAGAATTAATATCATTTCTGCCAAAACTGTGTTTTCCGTGTGATGTGTGCCTTCAAGCTGCCTGCTGACTTATGGTGACCTCTTGAATTAAACAGAATTTTCTTAGGCACAGTGAGATTGCCGGTTTCTTCCTTGGAAATACAGCCTGCAGCTTCTGGTATTCACTGGTAGGTTGTCCAAATACTACCCACTGCTTGGATAGGAGACCACCAGTATCTCTGCTTGGCTTCCAAAATCAGACTATCTTAATGATTTATTTCAATATGCTTTTTAAACACTTTGCCCTTTATTGAGAACTCAAATTGAAATTCATATATTTATGAATTCATACATATGGAAATATGAGTAAAGGGGTCAGAAATGGATGTAACAGATATTATATACAATTCATTCCCTATATGTTCTTCCCTTTCCATAGGGAAGAAGTGACAGAAAAAAATTTCTTGGAAGAGAATTGCACTGGTAAGAACTTTGCACTGCTCCTCTAATCTCTGGCTACTAGTTATATTTTTAAAACCAAACCAAGCAGCCTTTCAGTTATCTTTAGCAGAAGGCTGTCATCTGTTGAGACCTCCAAATGCTGGAGCATCACTTTAGGACCCAATCACTCTCTTCAACACAATGTATTTTTGGGTATATGGGGAGTCCGCCTGAAGTTGACCTTCAGCCGTGTGATAATTACATTTCTTAAGCTGTGCATGTTTATGCCACACAGCTCTAGACAGGACACACAAAACAATATTGTTGAATAGCAGATGCTGCATTTGAACTGAGCTCTCCTATATTGATTTAACTTGTGGGTTTCCTTTAATGAGAGTAATTGCAGTTTTGACGTGCGTATTATTTCTTTTTATTATACATTGTTACTCCATGACAGGATTAATAAGACTTCAGCTTGTTTAAGGGCTTATGTAGTCAGGTTTGAGATGAGACACGTTGTATCGGAAGTAGGATGCATTCTGCATGATTATTAGAACATTCAGAATATAGCTTCCTTTAAAATGGAAAGTATTGGTCATCGTTGTGCCAGGGTAAAATTAACATACTAATTATTAAACATCAAGATATCTTGGAGAAGCGATGATGAAATATTAACAGCCTATCACAAATGTAATTTTTCAAACCTCAGGACTATCACAAGAATGAAGAATTAGAAATGACCTGTTGCCCCAGGATGTGAACAAGCTTGTGCAATCACTAAATTTCTGAAATGGTTTAAACTGATACAAAAAAAACCCCAAACAATTCTTTATTCATTAAACCCATTAATATTATCATTGTAATTAAAGAGAAGGCCAGAACCTCCATCTAGTTTTAAAAATAACCAAAGCCTTTGCTTAAATTCATTACATTAGCACAGATTTTATTGGATCATAACAATTTGCTTCAGCACTGATTAAAATGAACTTGTTTATATATTAAAAATTTGGGGCTGACCTAAGACATTTCGCTGCCTGGAGCAATACAGATAATGGTGCTCTCTTCCTCCAATTCAAGGCTAGACAAATTATTTTGGCACTTAAGGTGCAAAGAAAAAGATGGGGGGAAGAAGAAGTGGAATCACCCCACAAGCTTCTCTCCTTTTCTCTGCAAGGAAGATAAAACAGCAAGTTTTTCTTGTTCTCTTATGACACTCCCAAGCAGCTGAGGTAGCCCCCTGATTCCACCCAAAAGTGTGGGCCAACCCTGAAAATAGGCTGACCCCTTGTTATCCACTGGGTTTGGTTCCAGGACCCATGTAGATACAAAATCCTTGGATTCTCACATCTCATTATATATAGTGTCACAGTCCCTTATATTAAAAATCAAGGTTTGCCTTTTGGAAATTTTTGGGGAGGAGGGTAGTATTTTTAAACTATGAGCAGTTGAATCA